TCGTCCGCACTACCGACCGCTTTCCACGCGCATCCCATGTGCAACACCCGATCTACTTTTGAAACATCCAGATGCAACAGTTGCAACATACAAAAGAAGACAGATAAAACATTTGAAACAAGAGTCTGAAACACTTGCGAAAACGTCTGAAAAATATTTGAAAACCATTGCAAACATATGCAACATCCAGATAAAACACTTGCAAACATACGTATGAAACACCCAAAAAACTTGAAACAATGCTTGCAACATGCATGTGTATGCAACATCTAGATCTACACTTGCAACATCCAGACAAAACACTTGCAACATTCGTCTAGAAAAAGATGAAATATTTGAAACATACACTTGAAACATACGTGTATAGCCATTACAACATGTGTACATCTCGATCTATTTTTGCAACATCGATATACAACACTTGCAACATACCTTAGAAATAACTGAAACACTTAAAACATACTATTGAAACATGCGCTTTCAGCGTAGCATCTGCTTGCTGTTTGATGAATGGAGGCTCGTCGACGTGGAGCTCGATGTCGGCACGGAGCTCGAAGCCGCAGAGTGGCATAGAGGTCGTCAGTGTGGAGCTCGTCGGCAACACGGATCTCGGCAGGGGCAGGGGCAGGCGGATGAAGCATGGCCGCGACGGGAGGCATGAGTCCAGGAGCGAGCTAGCGAACGCTAGCGCGTCAGGCTCGCCACGCGGCGAGGGCGGGCGATGGGGGCGCGAGCGGGGGCGGCGCGGGCCAGGACGGGCCCTGCGAGTGGGCGACGCAGGTAGGAGCGGCATGGGCGAGTGTGGGTTTCCGTTAATTTTTATCGGAATACTTGCTTTTCTTCAGTTGGATCTATAATAACCTAATAAAATATTAAACGTTTTACTTTCTTTATGACCGGTTATCAATATTTAATTAACTTGCAAGACATGAAATGTGTAGATAGACAGTGAAACGTACCAAGTGGTTCAACTTGAATGAAGCTCTCGTTTTGGATCCATCACTGTGGGTCGTAGTTTGCTTCTTTAACACTCACTTGGGAGGCCCAAGGCAGCAAGGCTAGTACGGCTTGTAACTTTGTGCACAAATTCACAGATATGAAAATGACATGTACATTGCACTTTCCATGATACGACAGTAACAGTAGTAGAAAAGGAAATGTACCAAGTCGTGTCTTTTCGAATATGATGGTGTGTATAATCTATTGCTACTCGTGTAAGTTAATCATCCTGCAAATCCCATCATTAGTTTCAACAAAGCCCTGATCACAGGAGATTTCCCTGCTAATCTTTTGGCACAAAACAGGGCCTCCAAAACCAAGAGATGTATTATTGCCACTGCTTTGGAGTCACCATCAAAATATATTGGGTGGATATGCACGAAAAATATATACCAAACTTGTTCATTTGATTGTGTAGAAATGGCATCGGTTCTAGAACAACCATCCCATCATTAAGCTTGGCTAATCTTGAAACCTACTGCTAATAATACAGATCAAGTAACCCGACCATGGGCCATGTATAATAATTTGGCAATTTGCCAAAGTGATATGATCCTAAAATCCCAATGTTATCCTACATTCCTACCATGTGCAAGCAACAATAATGCGTCCAAGTATAGATGATCACAATGGATATGTGATGCACTTAGATGAGCATTCCAGAAACACTATTAACTCTAACACATTTCCTAGAAAAAAAAGGAGAGAATGCCACGGAGAAACCCCCTTTGCTATGTGGCATGCAATTAGATGAGCATTTCAGAAAATTCCATGCTTTCATTTAGTAATAGAAAATATATTATGCTGGAACACATGTTTATATATGTTCTGGTCTCCGTGCTAGGGGAGTTATGAGTGAGAGCGCGGTGGAGGATGCGCCCACGTCGACGGCGTCCAACTTTGGTCTTGGATCTCCGCCAGCGAATGGCGGATCATGTGAGCAATACACAGGTACGTGTTTCTAGTGTTTCCTGGAAGGAGATGGGGCGGAGGATGAGGACAGCGAATGGCACTTCATCGGTGACTGCTGGAGACGGCCTATACCTGACCCGACAGTGAACCTTTGTCCCATAGGAACGAAATCCAAATTCTGGTCACTGGCGGACGATGATCATTCTGAGGTCGCGTCCCAGTCGCCATTCACGCCGGATTTGGTGCGTCAAGCAGCTGTTCATGGTTTCTCCAAGGAACAACTGTGTGAGGCGGAGATGGCTTTGCAAGACTCGTCAGTTCGCCGGCGGGTAGAAGCGTCAGCGTCTCCGGCTCCAACGGACAAGAAGGTAGTGCTAGTAAGAAATATCATGAAGGCTTGGATAGATGTTCGGCGGAGGGCAAGGACGCCGTGGTCGGAGAAGCTGCAGCGCCCAAGGATATCACCGGTGATCACCCTTGGCGATTGTGCGGTAACTGCTGTTTGCGGTCGACAGCTAGTTGCAAGAGGTACTCTCACTGAGGTACTAAGGGAGACATCCTCAGCGACTCCAGCGCCGACGAAGACGACATGGCTCGATGTCGGACGCCAAACTTCGACGTTTTTTTTCAAAATCCGCCTAATCCGAAACTGATGCCCAAGGAACGGCCATCGTCTCGATCCGTAATGCACGCAGGGACGGGTGGGCCTCATGACGAGGTCCAACATGGGCCCTGTACGCTGAACGGCCAGGGACACTGCAAATGCCGCGGTGCCAAACTAGCGGCTCGGTTTTTACTCGGAAAGTTTGATCTTGATGAAATCAATAGGAAAACCCTAGCCGCCACTACCTACTCAGTTTATCCTTCGTACATCCAAGTGCTGCATGCAGGCATAGCGGCCCCAGGCATGGGCAGCGTGGGAAACGGTGCAGAGGCAGTGAGGGTGGTGGTGCCGAAGGAAGGGGACTCTCAGCTGGTCGTGGCGTAGGAGGTGCAGGCGGTGGGAGACAAGGCTATGGCGCTAGGTATGGCTACAACTACTACAATGAAGGCGCGCATTTCAACGGACCTCCTCGATTCAATCCCAATCTCGGGGTTCATCCGCCGAACTATGGCCCGGGTTGGGACTATGAGCGATGGTGAAGGGACGACAGGGCAGCAATGGTGGCCGTGGCTGAAGTAGTGCTAACCGGCATGGTCACAACTATCAGCGACATGTGCCGTAGCGGGAGCAGCGAGTACTGCAGCATGGACCTCCGCAACAGCAATCATCAGCACCCCCACAGTTACCGAATCAGCAACAGTTGCCGTAGCAGGAGCAGCGGAGGCCATTGCAGCAGCAAGCACCGGCACCCCTGCAATTGTTGAACCAGCAATAGGCGCATCAACCTCCACCACTGACGTCTGGCACGGTCGCTCGGTCATTGTCGCAGCAACTGGGGCTAGGGTCCGAACATTAGGTCAAGACCAACACAGAGCAGCATTAGGTAATAGGGAAAGGTTTAATTCTGTCTGAGCAAAGCATGGGCAAGACCGAGAAGGAACGACAGCCAGCACCACATATGTTGTATGGTTCGTCCTCGGTTGCTGGAGCAAGTGCTATGCAGATTGAGAATTCGGAGATTGGAGCAACTAAAAATGGTGCAGTGGAGGTGTTTCAAAGGGCAGCTACTTCCAAAATCTGCAGGCGGTGTGGAGTAGAGGGTCATTTGATGTTTGAGTGAACGGCGATAGTTTTCTATGAAATTTGTAAGAGCACTGATCATGCCATGATTCGGTATCCGATACTCAAGCAACCGAAACCAGTAGCTCAATTAGTTGGCCAGGCGGCCGATGAACTTGCTGGCTATCATATTCCACATGCACCCATACAGCCAACAAAGAAAGATTCCAGAATGGCTCTAATTTCTACTTTAGGCAAGAATCTGACAGAGGAGGAAGTGGCAGCATTTTTGCGGGTGTTGGTCTCTGATACTTTTGCGTGGGATGTAAAAAGGCACAATGGCTTTGAGTTTAAGGTCCTTTTCCCTACTAAAGGGGATCTTGTCAAGATGACAAAGTTCAATGCAGAGATGAAGGAAGGGTCACTCTCAAATTTCAAGAATTTAAGGAAGATGAAGAGTATTTTGGCCATGCTCTACCAGTGGTTTGGATGTGAGTCATCAACCTACCGACAATTCTAAGGGAGTACGTCATTCGGGGGCACTTGGAACTCTTTTCAGTGTTACCCAGGATGTGGATATGGTGACTACTAGAGCCAATAACTTTGGACGGTTTGAAGTGGCAGTACTAGAACCCAAGGCAATTCCGACCAAACTAGATGTCATCATTGGTAATAGGTACTTTCAGTTGATTTTTTAGGTTGAACCTTATTTACTTAACATTGGACCGCGGAATATTTGGAATATACAAAATGATGGGAATGAGGACCATGGTAATGGTGCGACAAAAGACACTGAGATGAAGGCGGCACAAAATACTGGGGAAACTAATATATTAGATGCAAGCATCAGAAATGCAATAAAAAACAACACGACCGGGAAAGAAGATAAGGCTCCTGAGACACAGATGGATTATGATTGGTCAAATGATGATCTGCTAGGAGACGAGCATGAACTTAATGAATCTGTACGTAAGTTTTTAGGAGTCAAAAAAGGAGATCCGGTAAATGTGAAGAATGCAGCAACAATTACAGCGTCAGCCTCTAGGAGATTGTCAGCACCGGCACGCATGCTGCAGCGACCTTCGCAGTCTGCTAGGCTGGCTGAAAATTTTGTGAGTGCAGCCTTGGTGCCACAGTCTAGTACTGAAGATTCGACAAGGGATGGCTGCTTGGGCCAGGCATAGCAGCCCACGCTGTCGGCCAGTGTTGCTGCAAGTGACATGCAGAAAAATAAATCCTGTGAACAGCCGTCTACCATGTTTGATAAAGAACGTGTGGATATCTTAGTTGGGCAGATCGATGGGGCAGCAGAAGGGGCGTTTGCAGATGGTGCTCAACACCTTGGTGTTCTTCTTGACGCCATGTTGGGAGCTGGAATGGCAGCTGATGGCGAGTCAAAAAAAAGGATTTGGGTAGTGTCATGAAAATGGCGATTATGTCAAATGGAGAGTTAACCCCAGTACGACGGAGCAAACGGAATACGGAGGTGGCTGATGTTGACTCTCTAGAGAAGGCAGAAAGAAGAGTTGCCGTCAAGAACCTCGAGGAACCCCAAGGTAATTTAAATGTTAATTCATTTTGTTCCTTTTCTAATGTTCATATTAAGGAAAACTTAGGAGGAGTGGGTATTAGTTTGGGTGACAACGATGATTTAATGATCGGGTCTATTGCTCTTTTAAAAAATGTTGAAAGGGAGAGACTGAAACCATCTATTTGTCTCAATAAAGATGAAAATGAATTTGATTCTGAGAAGGATGAGATCGATCCAGACACCTTCACCATAAGTCGACTCTGTGGTGACTTAACAGAGGAGGTGATGGATGATAATAATGCGGACCTCGACGGAGTACTTGTAAATGTGCCCATCAAGGTGGGAAAAACCAAAAAGAAAAAGAAACTCCTCAGTAAGAATACAGCTGCAAGAAAAAAATAGTATTTCAATGAAAGGTATTTTCTGGAACTACATAGGTTTGTGTGATTTAGCTAAACACACCTTTTTACATGATGTGGCTGGGGATAACAAACTTGATTTCATAGCTCTATCAGAGACCAACAAAAATAGTTTTTCGACTCAGTATCTAGAAAACTTTTGTGCAGGGGCTGATTTTGTTTGGCATTGGCGATGTCCTCAGGGTATGTCCGGGAGGATGCTAATGGGAATAAATCAAGGTTATTTTGAAATAGAGAACATAGAGGATGGTGATTATCATATCAAGTTTCTCATCAAAAATAAAGTAGATGGTTTTTAATGGGCTCTATTGTCTATGTATGGTGGAGCACAAGAAGAGCACAGAGAACACTTCTATCAGAGTTAGTACGAGCTTGTACTAGCTGTGGGGATCTGCCTTTCTTAGTAGGGGGAGATTTCAATATCATTAGGAACCCTTCGGGAAAAAATAATTCAAGATATAACAATAAGTGGCCTCTTTTGTTGAATGTTATTATTGAAACGTTAAATTTAAGAGAGCTGGAGTTAACAGGTAGGAAATATATGTGGGCAAACTATGTAGAGGTTCCAACATATGAAAAGTTGGACCGTATCTTAGTAACAACAGATTGGGAACAAAAATTTCCTTTAGCTTCTGTCCAGGCACTTACCCGAGAGATCTCCGATCATACACCTCTTTTATTAGATAGTGGTGAGCCATCTCACAGAGGTAATGTTTTGAATTTTAAGTTCGAGCTAAGGTGGCTAACAAGAGATGGTTTCTTTGGGTTGGTCAAAGAGGTTTGGGAATCTGAGAACAGGGGTCGGTCACCCATGGAGAAATGGTAAAACAAAATTAGAAGGTTGCAACGTTTTCTTAGAGGTTAGGCTAGGAATTTGTCTTCACAAAATAAGAAACACAAATCTAACCTCTTGACTAAGATAGATGATTTGGACAGAAAGGCAGAGACAATTGTGTTGTCACCTCAAGAGATGGAACTTAGACATCATCTCAAAGGGCAATTAACTAAGTTGTTGAGAGAGGAGGAGATCTATTGGCTCCAACGATCAAAAGCAACAAAGTTATTGCAAGGGGACGATAATACTAAGTATTTTCATCTAGTGGCAAATGGGAGACACAGGAAAACAAAATTTGTCCAGCTAGAACAAGAAGAAGGAACAAATTTGAAAAATTATATAACTGAGTACTATAAAGGATTGTTTGGACCTCATCCACCGAATTCGTTCTCAATGGACGAGACATTGAGGCATGACATACCTCAAGTGTCAGAGGATGAGAATGAGGGTTTGACAGCTCCATTCAGCGAGGAGGAGGTTAAATTGGCAACTTTTGATATGGAACATAACAAAGCACCTGGTCCGGATGGTTTTCCATAAAATTTTACCAATTCTTGTGGGAGGTTATGAAATCGGGTTTGATGAACCTTTTTTATAAATTCCATGCTGGGAGACTGCCTATCCATAGCCTAAATTTTGGGGTAATTACATTACTACCAAAGATTGCTGATGCGGCCTGGATAAAATAGTACATGCCAATATGCTTATTAAATGTGAGCTTTAAGATTTTTACGAAAGTGCTAAATAATAGGATTTTGAAAGTGGCAGATAAGATGATAGGACCGTCGTAGACGGCCTTTATCCCAGGTCGCTATATCATGGAAGGAGTTGTGATGTTGCATGAAACGATTCATGAGTTGCATAGGAAAAAACAAGATGGTGTGATCTTAAAACTAGATTTTGAAAAAGCCTATGATAAATTAAAATGGTCGTTTATACAACAGGTTTTCAGAATGAAAGGATTCTCACCAACTTGGTGCGAATGAATTTCAAAAGTCATGTCTGGAGGGAGTGTTCCAGTAAAGGTCAATGATAATGTAGGCCACTATTTCTAAACCAGGAAAGGAGTGTGACAGGGGGATCCGTTATCTCCAATTTTGTTTGATATAGTGGTTGACATGCTGGCTATCTTTATTTCACGAGCTAAAGAAAGAGAACAAATTCTAGGGGTTGTTCCATATTTGGTAGATGAGGGACTTTCAATCCTTCGGTATGCAGATGACACTGTCATCCTTATGGACAATGATTTAGAGAAGGCCAAAAACATGAAGCTTTTACTTTGTGCTTTTGAACAGCTATCAAGACTCAAGATCAACTTCCATAAGAGCTAATTGTTCTATTATGGAACAGCCAAAGCTAATCAACACGAATATGTACAAAAATTTGGGTGTGATTTGGGGTCGTTTCCATTTAGATATCTGAGAATCCCTATGCATCGTAGAAAGCTCTTGAATAAATACCGGAAGCATGTTGAAGAATGTTTTTAAAAAAAGGCTGAATTGTTGGAGAAGCAAAATGTTATCGGTAGGAGGAAGGCTTGTTCTGATTAATTCTGTTTTGAGTAGTCTCCCCATGTTCATGCTTTCCTTTTTTGAAGTACCTAGAGGGGTTCTAAAGAAGTTGGACTATTTTAGGTCACGATTTTTTTGCAGAACGACGAACATAAGAAAAAATATAGATCGATTAAGTGGGAGGTAGTTTGTACGCCGAAAGATCAAGGGGGTTGGGAGTCCAAAACTTAGACGTACAGAACATGTGTTTTCTAAGCAAATGGTTTTTAGGTTGCTGAATGGAGATGGGATCCGGCAACAATTGCTTAGGAACAAGTATTTAAGAAACAAAACTTTGACACAGGTTCAATACATGCCTAGGGACTCCTAGTTTTGAGCTGGCCTTATAAAGGTCAAGGAGAAGTTCCTATCGTTGGGCAAGTTTGATCTAGACGACGGGTCTCAAGTGCGATTTTGGGATGACTCGTGGATAAGACCGCGTCCTTTAAATATCTCTTCCCCGCATTATATAATATTGTTAGGAAGAAAAGCGCATCTGTAAGAACGATGTTGTCTATGACACCGTTAAATATGGCTTTCAGGAGATCTCTGTTAGGTGTTAATTTACAAGCATGGCACGAGGTGGTCGCCATGGTTGCAGATGTATAGTTAACAAACCAGAGGAATTGTTTCGTGTGGGGGCTACATCAGAATAGATTGTTTTCAGTCAAATCCATGTACAGAGCCGTTTTAGGAGTTGAAGCTATACCTTATAACACTTTAATAGGGAAACTAAAACTACCTCTCAAAATCAAAGTATTTTTATGGTATTTGTATAAGGGAGTAATCTTAACAAAGGACAATTTAGCAAGGCAGCAGTGGCAAGGAGATAGAAAGTGTTGTTTCTGCTCTTCTGACGAGTCTATACAACATCTATTCTTTGACTATCATTATGCTAAATTCGTGTGGAGAATTATTCATGTTTATTTTAATTTAATATCTCCAACTAGCGTTCACAATCTGTTTACAGGCTGGTTAGACGGGATTAATAGGAAACTGAAATCTAAGATTTTTGTGGGTGCAAGTGCAATTTGTTGGGCGATATGGTTAACCCGGAATAATATAATTTTTGACAAGGCCGCAGCACCATCTTATTTGCAGGTTATCTTCAGGGGGACCTACTGGACCAGGTCTTGATCCCTACTACAGAAGGAGGAGGATCGCCAAATGATAACGATGGGATGCAGGAATATGGAGACAACTGCGATGAAAGTATTTGCTAGACATGGTTGGAGATTTAGTAATAGAATTGATGTCGAGTTTGGAAACTTCTCTATTTTTTCTTTAGATCAAAACTTTATGTTTGAGATTGCATGGATTACAGTGCTTGTGTTGTAATAAGCAACAGCTATATGTATTGATTGATGCAAAATCTGGATATTAATATATTCCCTTTTCTAAAACTATGACAGGCCAGGAGATGCCATAACAGCATAGCAAGATGATGTGCTATAGCATACCACCAGCCTGTTCGCTTGTTAGTTTTAGCCAGAACATATCAGTCAGTCAACAGTATTTTTCTCTCACAATAAATTAATATCAGTTAAACTTATCAGCCCAAAAACCAACTAGCAAACAGGCCGCACGACGCAACGTAGATGATCATGCCGGTTTTTTACTCTCTGGTCGGCCTTTGTTTTCTAAAATGAAGCGGATAACTTAATTGAGAATTCGTACTGTTTTTTTTGTGTACGTGCAGTGTTCCACATAAATCAACTTCCACCTTTCCAGCATACATTTCCCCCTGTTATTTCACAAAAAAAGTAAAAATGCCCATGATCCTTTATTTATAACAATGACATACTTTGTTCAGACAAATACATTTTTTAAGAAAAGAGAATATTTTTGGCCTTTACATCGTACACAACCAATTCTTACAAAATTTTCAACACAATTGTTGATTATCAAATAAAGAGAAAGAACATACTTTAAAAGAAAAATTATAAATAAAGTCTGTTATTGCTGGATACCTGGGTTCATAGCTACCTAGCTGTATGTATTCGGTCATCGGTGACTTGCTATGCAATTCCATGTATCCAACGTTGCACGACAAAGAAACCATCAAAACCACTTATCCATCCGATGAAGATGTTAGTGTGACAGATTCTTATAATATAAACAAAAAAATAGAGTAATGAACAAGGCAGCCTTAGAGTCATGCACGCAAACACATAATGGTTCATTACCAATTATCAAACAAAACATGTAATTTATCTGATAAGGTAACACATAACCCTCGAAACTAAAACTTTTTTGAGTAGGTAAATGCTTAAATGACGGACTAGGCATGATTACAATCTAATAAGACGGTGGCAGATAAAAAAAATGAACAAAATATATAGAAAGCAAACAAGTCAATGTACTAGAAACCACAAATAATTATCTGTGGCTTACCCCCTAATTTAGGTGTACCATTAACAAATGACAGCACCTAACCATAATTATTTAGGGAATTTAAGAAAAACACATGAATCAATTTGCTAACCCATTTTCTTACTAGACCGGGTAAAATGGTCCATTCAACACCCAAAACAACCTCAACAAAAAAAATCACAACGATATGTCCATACCATTCCCCTAAGATTTGTCGCACAGTTT